CGACCGCAAATTCTACTATGAACTGTTTGAACAAGAAATTGCTTTAAATTGCAACTATTTGGTGGTGAAGAAAAATTGTCATTCAATAAATAAAATTCAAAACTATATAACTCATTCTACTTTCACAATAGAGTGTTCCAAAATTAAGGCCTATCTATTTTATATTTTTTCAGATATTTATCACTCGCCCTCACTTTAGAGGTTTTTTTTTAGTTCAGGATTTTGTAAAATTTATATAATCAAAAAAGTACTCGTGAACATTTACAGTTTGTTTTTGTAACACTGGATAGCGAAGAAAATGAAAAACACATCGCCATCGTCGTCTTGATTTCTGATGATTTCTTATGGTCGAATTATTGCTGTGATTTGCGCCATCATCGAGAGATTCGGCCAGCACCGAAACACAAAGAAACCGGAAAATAAATGAATTATGTGTTGAGAGGATAAAGTGGCTTGAATGGAAAATTTTCTTGTAAAATAGGAAGTGTCCATAGTTCCGTGACACACAATTGCCTCCAATCGTAAATTTTGATGCTGTCAATACGCAACAGCGAGAGCAGCAGCAGAAGGAGTAACTTTTTAACGGTCGTTGGCCATAAACATAAACAAAAGTGAAATATTTGTGTGGTAGAGATTTGGCAATTGATTTCAGCATGAGCGAACCGACAGCATCAAGACAAATCTAGCGCAAGCACGATCTAATGCCATGAACATGATTTTTTTTTCTTCCTTCGCCTGTTAAACGAATGGAATATATAAATAGCGTGTGCGTCTCATGATTTGCATTTTCCGAATGGTTTGCGAAACATCTGTGTTTGTTTTTATGCCGTTACAACGATGTGCAGGCACGCGTTTGTCTTCATTTTGCATCCGTATTTTTTAATAGGATATTTGCTGACAAAAATTCGGAAACATGATGTTTTTGTTGCCCACATCGTTAGCATAGGACCGTCAACAACCGCAAAAAGCATGACCAGAAAGCGAGTGAGAGTGAGAGTGAGAGTGGAAAAAGTACTGACATCGCAAAAATAAGGAGATACGCAAATTCGATTTGCTGTGTACGGCATAGCAGCACATCATCCGATGGAGGAATGAAAAAGTTATACGTGATTTGAATAACATCCATATGTAATATCGATAACAATGTAATTTCTATTCGATGTTGGCATTTCAGTATGCGATAACATTCGTATATGTGAATGCATAAAACGCAATGAAGACAGAAAAAAAAATATCCAAAACTTTGGTTTCGTGCAATTTTATCTGCTGCGAATACCACGGTTGAGATTCAATATGTTTACACTCCGTACACTCCTGAACGTAGCCGCTGTGTTTCTTCGCAGTTTTGTTTCACGTTGTTCCAAAAACAAACGATGTCTGTTGTGTGCGCTCGTTCGTGAACGCACTCACGAGAACACGTTCACACAAAGAAACCAACGGCTTGCGTTACAACTGTCAAATGCACAGACAATGAAAGCAAAGACGTCTACATCGTTGATTGGTACACTCAGTTTTGCCACATACACTGACGCAGTGAACAACGATACAAACATAACCCTTACAACAAGTTTGACAAGTGAGAACGTCGGAGACTGCGGACAAAACACACAGTAGTTTTTAATTTAATATAGAATTAGATACACGATAAATTAGTAATTATGAACTGGGGTTTTCTATTACTTTTGGTACGTGGCATTTATTTATCCATATTTTTCATATTTGCAATTTTGATTGTGCGGTAAATTGGGGTTTTTTCGGTGAAATTGTCGAAGATTTTGTGCGATTTTCATTTTTTTGCGATTGATTTTCCTTTCAGGTTGGCTATGTGTTTTACAATCCAGCCGACAGTGGAGCGGTACAGCTCAAAAATGATAACATTGATATGACATTAGGTAAATATAATGTACAGTTACGAAAAGCAAATAATTGCTACGATCATCTCATCCGAAAACGTATTCACTATTTTTTTCTTCTGCGTTTCATTTTTCAGCGTCAAATGAATTAGTTTTCATAAATTTTTATGCGGATTGGTGTCGATTTAGTAATTTACTACAGCCCATTTTCGATGAAGCCGCTGATACGGTAATTAGTCATGGTTACGAATTGTTTCATTAAAATGTGACTGCTTCCTTTGTGAATTGAAACAAGAGAGCTTTATACACGTTTTAATTTATGCAAGCGATAATGATGTGATAAATGTGAGTTCCTAGAAAATAATGATGTGTATTGGTATTTATAGGTGCATAAAGAGTTCAGCCAGGCGGGGCAGGTGGTGATGGGCAAAGTGAACTGTGATGAAGAAACAGCAATTGCCAAACGATTCCAAATCACAAAATATCCAACACTAAAAATTATCCAAAATGGTGAGGTGCAAAAACGTGAATATCGTGGGCAACGATCTCAAGAGGCATTCGCACAGTTTGTACGCAATCAATTGAAGGATCCAATCACCGAATTTGCCGCATTAAAAGATCTGGAAAAATTGGACACACGCAAACGGATTATCGTTGGATATTTCGATCGACGTGATATGCCTGAGTATAACGTTTTCCGTCGTGTTGCCGCTAACTTGAAAGACGATTGTCATTTTTATGTCGGTTTTGGTGATGTTGTCGCTCAAATGCATCCACCTGGTGTGCCGATTATCGTGTTCCGGCCCGATATCGACTTGTCCCATGACAATGACGAAACATATAAAGGCAGCCTAAGCGGCATTGACGAATTGAAGATCTGGGCACAAGACAAATGCGTACCGCTCGTTAGGTTTGTTATTACTAATTGGTTTTGGTTAAAAGAGACTATTTTCTTTGCAGTTGCTTTGTTCTTGGAGAAATCAAAGCGAAGTACTCATTTTTAGAGCAATTTAAACAAACACTTTGTTTTTACGGAATTTTGTTGGTAAATTTTAATTGGTTTCAATGAAAATGTGCATTTTTGCAGAGAAATTACGTTCGAGAATGCTGAAGAGCTCACCGAAGAAGGATTACCATTCTTGATCTTGTTCCACGCTACTGATGACACTGAATCAATCAAGAACTACAAAGCCATCGTTGAAGCCCAATTACTTTCGGAGAAACGTAAGAACCTTTTAGCACACATTCAACGCTTAGAATATCCGTCGTCAAATTTTATCCTCTATCACTTTCATCGTTTTTAATCTTTTGGTATTTGCTTCTCCGTTTGCACAGAAAACATCAATTTCCTCACAGCTGATGGCAAACGCTTTGCTCACCCGTTGCATCACTTGGGAAAATCACAATCTGATTTGCCTTTGATTGCTATCGACAGCTTCCGGCACATGTATCTCTTCCCAAAATTCGAGGACATGTACACGCCTGGCAAACTGAAGCAATTCGTCGAAGATTTGCACAGTGGTAAATTACATCGTGAGTTCCACTACGGTCCCGATCGAACCGAAGAAAATCCATCGAATCACATTTCATCGGATAAACCAACGAATCCGCCAGAGTCAACGTTCAAAAAATTAGCGCCATCGAAGAATCGATACACACTACTGCGTGATGAACTCTAAGTGCATCTTTTAATTTATTTCCAATTGTAAATACACACATGCATCCAGAGAAGGGGAGCTCCTATCCCAACCAACAACTGCTAGCACTCACGCAATGAACAAACAAAATAACTTCTCTTCCCAACTAAATTTGATCTTCTCCCTCTTCTCTGGACATTTGAACAGATAGCTCGATAGAACGTGCCTAGATCTAAATTCTGTTGTTTTTTCGTCAACTAAATTTCAATTCCACTGCTATTAAGTGAATGGTTTTTCGTTTGGAGTTGCTCTTTTGCATCCATGGAATAAGTGCACACATCCAGCAGGTGTTGTGTGATGTTAGAGTCAATATTGTAACAGAAAGATACAGATGATGAGATCCAAAATGCAAATTTTGGAATCGACTTTTTAACACAATTTTACAGAAACAATAATTGTTTTGTTTAGTTTAATTCCAAATCACAAATTGCAAACAAATCGGAGTGTTATTTTTTGTCGTTTCCACAGAAATATTTTGATTTATTTCACTTGAATAAAAAAAAATCTTATCAAAAAACACACATATTGATAAAAACTACGAACAAAAAATTCTCTGTTTTTTATCGCTTTTGGACGGAACGTTATTACAGATCATTTTACAATTTTTTTTTTTTAAACGTTAACTCTAAGTAAATTACATGTTGTGATTTACAATATGGAAAAAAACGGTACAATTTTAAGGCACATTATTGTGACTTTTTTTTCTGACGATCTTACAAAATAAAAATGAATCGATTTGACCACAACATGTTTGGAGTGCTAATTTTTTCGTGTTTATGGTAAACATTTGTCGATGAGATGCTTTTTTGTGGCGTTTACAGTGAGAGGATCGGGTATGCAATCAGTGTAAATGCCGCTGTGATGTACCATAGGAAGTAGGATAGTCGCTCAGAACCACTCTGAAAATGAAAATGAAAATGATCGTAGTAAATTGTTTTTAATTGACTTTTGTACCAATTTTTAATTTTATTTTTGCCAGATAAACATGCTAGATTGAAGATAGATTAAATAACTTCTAAAATTACTCACAATGACATAGTAGTTACACCTGTCGCCCTGACAACATTCCGAGCAAGTCCAATCTTCATACCAAATGTGTGTGCAATAAGGCATATACTTTCGACGGATTGTTGTGCACAGTTTTTTCGTTGAACACCTTTTCGAAACGTAGTACTGCTTCAGGGCACCTTGAGTAAAGTACGGTTGAGAGCCCCATCGAATCTCTGTGAGGCAGACATCTTCACCTTGTTCACACGTTTTAATGGTATTCAAGCACTTTTCAGTGTTTTCCGTTTGATTCGAGCACACGTAACATTCCAGCGCAGTACCTGATGATAGGGAAAAACGATTAACTCAGTAATTATTCTTCTCAATTTGAGATTCACAATCAAACCAAACACAAAGCATTGAATAACAACGAAATTTGAAATCAGAATCCAATATCAATGCAATTGATTGCCCGAATTCCCAGAATAACACAAAATACTCACACGATGATATTAAAGATGCAAATAATATTGCACAAACGATGCTTTTCAATAAATTCATTCTGAAGCAATTGCGTTCGACGTGTTTTAATCACCAAAAATACTAATTGTACAAACAAATTTATTAGCAAACAAGTCCACGCCTAATGCACAACAATTGATGACAAATACTTGCTAATGAATGTCGAACGTCGTCGTTTGACAGTTTGACACTAGAATCGGTTGTGCTGGTTCGGCGCAACTTTCGAATCGTTTTGAATTTTTTTGGATCAAAGACGATTTTCTTCATTTCAGTAAAAAAAAAAATTGGTGGCAATGGCTACTTTTCAAAACGAAATTGATTTGAAAATAATGCAAAAACATTTATCTCGGTTGTAAATTACCTATTTGGTCAAATTTCTCAATATAAAGAAAGTGACAAGCAGCGCCCCCTGCACAAATATATCATTTCAATGCTCATTTGCAATGCAATATTCTCATTAATAAGGTGTTTATTTTTATTGTTAATTTACGTTATTCAAACAAATTACAAAGAAAATAGATGCGAAGCTTGAGTTAATCTTTAACACGCGGCAATCGAACGACACTGTTCCTCAGAATTGCTTCAACCAACCATTGAATGCCTTCTTGTACACCTTCACCAGTCAACGCTGAAACGGGCATCACCAAACAATCACGTCGTCCAATGTGAATGGCTGACTGCTGGAATACTGGTTTAATCTCTCGTACGCCCATGCAATCGGGCAAGTCTTGTTTGTTTGCTAACAACAGCAATGGAATGCCGGCCAAATGTTCATTACAAATCATTTTATCTGCAAATGAATATGAAATGAGTTTGATTGTTGCCAAGAAGTTTTTATTATTGTCAATGGTTTGAATTTCATACCGAAAACCGCTTTTGATTCTTCCATTCGCTCACGATCGTGTGAATCAACAACATAAATTATTGCATGTGACTCTTGGTAGTATTTATCCCACAGAGATTGCAATTCACTTTGTCCGCCCAAATCCCAAAAACTCAATCGAATGCCCGATATATCGATTTGGCCAATGTTTAGACCGACAGTCGTTGTTATGTGCTTCGGATTCATTCCCTTGTAATTCTTTGTGAGTTTCGTTTTGGCCGCTTCCAGGTACGTCTAAATATTGTTAAGGTGAGAGTATTTAAAAAATATTTCAATTGATTATTTTTGGAACAAAAAGGAAAATTGATGAGCTACTGTCATAAAAAATGGTTGTAAATGCTAACAAAAACCGTCAAACATACGAAATAACAAATTACATTGCACTTACCGTTTTGCCCGCGTCATCTAGGCCAAGAATTAGGACACAGTATTCATCTTTTTGTACCATATATTTGTAGAAACCATGCATAAGGGTGTACATTTTGATGAAGAATGATTTATTTATATGGAAACAAATTGACTAAACTGTTCTACACATTTCCCGTGCTTCAATCGGTCGTTCCGTGGGACTTATCTATTCACAAACTATTAACAAAACAAAATTAAACCATTTCGTATTAGAAATGAGACGAATGAACAAAAACAAATTGACAAGTTGTACTTTGAGCGATAAAACCAGCTCTGTCAAACCATTTGACTCTTTCCCTCGCTCTCTCTCTTGAAATGTTTTCATTTTTTGATTCCGATTCGTGCAGACAGAGTGCGTCGTGTCGCAAACTGCCAACATACAATTTGACATTCGCAGCAACAAGTACTTGAATACACTTTTCTTCTGTTTTTGTTTTTATCACATCACATATCTCTCGGCGATCCGAGTGACAAGATTCAGTTCCATTTGCTCATCAAAAGGAACTGCATCTAAGTTTATTTTCAAGGTTAATTTTTTTTATTCAATTAAATTGGTTTTGGTTGATTTTCATTCTGTTCGTAGAATCAAATATTCGATGTACCATTGAGCAACAAGTTAATCGAATTGGTAACGATATGTGTGAAGCAATGAAGAATCTGCAGAAAAATATCCGCAGTATTTGAGCAGTTGAGTTGAAGGTCGCATCTTTCATTGGGCGACATCATCGTGTAACCAGAACTGCGGCGTATTTACGTAACAAGATACTCTCGAATCAACTCTTTCTATTCACTTGAATGTGAATATGTGTGTGGAACGCGTTAGTTCAAATATTCTAACGATTCCGTTCAGTGTGTTTTGCTTCGGTTGAACAGCGCACCGCAACTGTGAGTTGCAGGAAAAACTGTTGAAACAACAAAAACATTTGCTGTTTCTTCGCCTAATTTTAACTGTAGTTTTTTGCTTCCGCAAGTGATGATATTGAGTGCTAGAACAATAGAATTGATTCGTGCCTTATCATAATACCCAAAGTAGTTCTGTTTAAAGCTTTGCACAAAAATTAAACATAACAACCTGCAGTTGAATTAGATGAATTATTTATTAATTTAGTACACAGTTGGGTGTTTAAAATCAATGGAATGTTCATGAAAAGGAGAATTTGATAAATAAAACGCAATAAAATATTAGTACACACGTCTGTGAATATGATTGCAAAGACATCAATTGATATTCTACCTAATCATATCTTAGATTTGATTTCCATTGAGTGTAAACGCTTATCAATTTTTGAACACTTCAGTTGTAGAAGGAGTCTGTGACATACATCATTCTGGGCAAAACCATTTATTGATATTTTCTATTGTCTACCTTTTTAGTTGAATTTTTTCACCATTCACCGTTAGTACCTTGAACTGTGACAGTACAAAATGGAGTCCTTCGCCGTTCTATTGGAGCCTTATAAAGACAAAATTGCCACATCAGCCGCAACCGTTACATATTTGCATCTGCTGAGCGGTTCGGTTATTTGCAATGACATTCGTAAACAAAAATCGACCGATGGATTTTCGGTTATGCCATTTGTGGCTGGTTGCGTTATGTGAGTAAAAAATATTTTTCCCATTATTTTACATAGATCAATCTTAACCATCGAAACATCTAATAATGCAACTGTGACTTTTCCTACAATTTAGCTCTGCATTATTCACTCGTTTCGGAGCCATACTGAATGACACACCAATGGTTCAGGTCAATTTGATTGGTACAGCGCTAAACATTGGATACGTTTGCTTCTTTTTCTGGAACACGAACAATATTAAAGATAAAATGTTGGCATGGACTCAAATCGGATATGCAGGAGCATTTGTGGCTGCCATTTTTGTCTACACTTATGTTGAAAATCCAAAAGATCTTCCATTCCGTTTTGGCTTAATAACAACGGCCGTTTTGTTCTACTTCGTCGGTTCGCCATTGCTTGGCTTGGTGAGATAACATTAAATCTTTTTTGTTCTTCTGAAAAATGATCATAAACCTACATCTATCTATAATTATAGGAAAAAAAATTATAATTTATCATTTAATTCCAGGGTGAAATCATTCGAAAGAAAAGCACCGAAGGTTTACCATTCCCCATTATCTTGACGGGAACATTGATTTCATTTTTGTGGTTCTTGTACGGAGTGGTGACACGCGAAAATTTCGTTATCTTCCAAAACGCAGTTATCTTTTTGATGAGCATTGTGCAATTATCATTGTTTGCCATTTACCCGTCGAAACCGGCAAAATCAAAGAAGAGTGGCAGCCCATCCAAGAATGGCAACAATAATAATAACAAGAAGAAAAATTAAATTTTCAAATTGAAATTACTCTTTCTCTTCGGCAATATTCTATTTTTTCACTAAAGTATGCAATCGATATGGATGAGATGAAAAATGTTGACAATAAAGCAAACAAAATGTTTTACACTTTTAGCTATTTTATCAGATATTGTTACTTTATCATAAAATGTTGAACAATAAAGAGATTTAAACGATTAAATCGCGTTTTTTTTTATCTACATGCATGCTCCAATTGGACACAATGAGTGAATATAGACGAAGCTATCACAAAAACATGGCGTTAACAATACATTTTTTGTGGATTTCGCAAAATCCCGCAATGGAGCTGAACGATGAAATGTAAACAATCGATTTATTACGGAATTTGATTGGTCAATAAATATTTTCAAAAAATCTGAACGTAATAAGAAAATGTGATTGAAAATGCATTGTTTATAGTACAACAATTTAAATAACCAACAATTTCTGCTCATCTTCCGACTATTTCCTCTTTATACTAAAATATTATCATCTGTAACCATCTTTTTATATAGCAAAAAGATAATTTTGGAAATTTCACCGCAAAAAGTGGAAAAAAATGCTCACACAACTATTTGCCAAAAAAAGGGCAGATGCCCTTCAACAGCAATTTGTTCGTGGAGTTAAAAATACACAGAAGCAAGTAAATATCGGTCAATTTTCACACACTATAACGGTTTCAATAACACTAAAATCTACAGATTTTGTTTCCATTCTGGGAATATGTAGAAATCAATCGAAATTAAAAATTGAAATGCAAACCAATTTTGTCCGATTGAAAACCGCACCAAAACACTGAATTGAAAAAAAGGTCGAAAATATTTCACACAAATGAAAGTTAGCTGGTATACAGTTTTTGATGCGACTATTTTTCTTCTTCAATCGCAAAAAATGTGTTTGCTTCCGTACGTGATAAGGCTACGTGCTTGTTTGATTCGTGTACTGATAATAATCAATAAATATTGATATGTGACCACCACAAAAGTAGCAATTCTCTTCGGAACTTTGCACTGTTATATGCTTGAAAATAAAACACAATTACTTGCAGCTGATTATAAGTAATTATTTGGTCGTTTACGGTTTCAAGAAGTAGGGAATTTTGATGGAGACGTCGAAATAGATAATATTTTATAAAAAAGATAAGATTTTCTGAGTGACGTAAACAAATTTATACTCAATCATGTCGACTTGATTTTCATTTAGTGAAAACGATTGCTTATCATTTGTAAACATTCTTCAGTTGAGCGTATCATCTGCGGCTCACTAGTGTAGTGTGATTTTGAAATAATTAGTAGATAAATTTAATCATCCACGATTGCAGTCAATTTTTATTTCGTTCATCGTTAGCACCTTGGAGTTCAAGCTTGAACCGTGACAGTAAAAAATGGAGTTTTTGGCCGTTTTATTGGAGCCTTATAAAGACTGGATTAGCACCTCAGCCGCAGCAGTTACTTATTTACATCAGCTGAGCGGTGTTGTCGTTTGCAATAGCATACGTAAACAAAAATCGACAAATGGATTTTCTGTGGTACCATTTTTAATTGGGACGGTTATGTAAGTGTATTTTCCCCATTGCTTTGATTGTTTCAATTAATCGACTGTGACTTTTTCCAATGAAGTTCTCTATTAGTTGCACGTTTTGGACTGATATTAAACGATCCCACAATTGTTAAAGTTCAATTGGGTGGATTTGCTCTGAGCATTGGATATCTGTGCTTCTTTCTCTGGTATACGAACAATGCCAAGGATAGAACATCGGCATGGACCAAAATTGGATATGCGGGAGCACTTGTGGCTGCCATTTATGCCTACACCTTCGTTGAAAATCCGAAGAACCTTAAAGCCCGTTATGGCTTGATTCTAACGGTTCTTATACTCTGTTTGATCGGTTCGCCGTTGCTCCGTTTGGTAAGATAGCATTTAATTTCCCGCATTCATTTGGAAAACAAGTAAGTTCATCTTTTACGATTCTAATTTTGAATTTTATTAAATTTCAGGGTGAAATCATTCGGACGAAGAGCACAGCAGGTCTGCCTTTCCCTATGATTTGCACGGGAACATTGATTTCATTTTTGTGGCTCTTGCACGGAATTGTGACACGCGAAACTTTTTCTACAGTACTCAATGTTGTAATTTTTTCGATAAATGTCTTTCAATTATCGTTGTTTGTTATTTTTCCATCGAAGTCAACAAAGTCAAGGAAAGATGGCAGCCCATCGAAAAGTGGCAACGACAATGATAAAAAAAAGAAAAATTGATTATTCAATACCATGCACTTATTTCTTCCTGTACATAACTTCGGTAGTTTACAGTGTTTTTCATCACTTGCAAAGCATATAGTTTGAATAAATGTGATATGAAACGTGGACATTTTATTAATATTGATAATAAAATGATCACTCTGTTTTACACTATCAGCTGTTTTATTGAACAATAATTCTATATTATAAAGTGCAGAGCAATAAAGCGCTTTAAACGCTTTAATTTCATCCTTCAATTTGTTTTAATTAAATTTTTTTTATCTTCATGCCTTTTATCAATAGCAAATGCTTATCATGTCTAGCAGATAATTGTGCCTATCTCAAAAATATGTCGTGAACAATTTATTTACGAAGGTAGTACATGTGCAAGTGTTCAGAATGAAGTTGAGCTGTAATGCTGACAAGTAATTTTTTATGAATTGCATATTCGCGTTGGGATTGTATTAACGGAACAAAGTACAGAATCTTGAGTCGAAATGTGAAATATTTTGCTCATATCAGCTTCGCCAACAACCTCATATCAACACATTATTTGTACTTTTCGTAAACCGCGGTTTTTATGGGATAAATTTGGAAATTCTATCGAAAGAAATAATAAAATTGTCAAATACCTTCGAATTATGGGAAATATGAGCGTCCGGGTGTTCTTCAACAGCAGCTTTGCATTGAAAGTGAAAAATACGAGTTGAGCAAAGCAATGCCACTCAATGGTGAACTTTGACACTGATTGGTTTTAATAATAGTTGCTGAATTTCGTTACCATGAACTTCACTCGATGCTATGAAAATTGCACATATAAGTTTGGCTCATAAAATATTTAATGTGAAAATGACTTTCGTTCAGAAACTATATATGAAACTAATATTGATTTTCTTATTTGAATTACGAGTTCATTATTCAAACAATTGTTTCACAAACCAAATAAACGATTATCAAGAACTTTGATTATATTTTGCTTTGCAATCGATTTATGTAAGAAAAATCGTTTTGTGTGCATTTGACTTGCCATGTCTGGTGTATTTGTATTTTTATGCTGTTATCGTCGAGTGTTTATGATGAGAAAGCATATCGCAAAATGCAGCTTTAAATATAATACATCCTATAGCGATAAACAATCTTTAATACAGAGTTGGTTCAAATTCATTTTTGGATTTTAAATTGTTTGCGTTTGTGGCTTGGTTTAAAGTATCAACACTGGGTTTGCTTTGAATGCTACATTTAATATAGCAATTGACTGCATTTTGCTTACGCCCGATCCTGATAAACAACTCCTACATACATTGGTTCGTATTCCGCTGATCAAACAGAAATTCATCAAACTAAGGTTATTGTTTCATTTTATTCATACGTTGGAGTGAAGTCAAGTCGATCGGTCATAAAAATGAAGACTATAAGTTTCATCTTAATTGGTTTTGTTATTTTTCAAAACATCTTGGATTTTAATGTTTTGTGTTTAAGTTCAGAGTTCGTTGAATGTCGGAGGCCAGGGTCATACGATGTGGAAGGGAAATTAACATTAAAGTGTTCCAATGACTCGCACCAAATCGATTTACTAAATCAAAATTCATATTTATCATGTTCAAATTCTAAGCAATTCAATGGATATAATTACAATGTAGAAAAAAGAAGAATCAAACAAGTGAATATTGAAAATTGCAGCATGAGTAAACTAACAATAAAATACGATATTTTTCAACAATATACACAACTGGAAGTGTTGAATATTTCCTACGTGGGATTGGAGTCGCTTGAAAAAGAAACTTTCGAGAAAGCTGGATCAATGATTAAATTGGATGCAAGTCACAACAACATTCAAGATGTGCCGGAACTATTGTTTCTTAATGCGGGAAATCTAAATGAAATTGATTTTTCGTATAATAAAATGGAACGAATTGATTCCCACGTGTTGGCTGGTGCCAAACAACTTAAAACATTGGATGTTTCGCACAATGAAATCGGGAGCATAAGTGGACTTGTGTTTGGAAATGCTTTGTGGCTTGATCACATAAATTTATCGCATAATAAAATTAGTGTGGTGGAACCTAACACATTTGCCGTTTTAAAACAACTCAAAAGACTGGATATTTCACATAACGAAATCAAGAACATAAGTGGGCTTCTGTTTGGAAATGCGCTGTGGCTCGAGTACATCGATTTATCATATAATGAAATTGTTTTGATCGAATCGAAAACATTTGCTGTTCTAAAACAGCTTAGAACATTGGATTTATCAATCAACAACATCAAAAAACTGACCAAAAGCTTGTTCGATGGCTTAGATAATCTTCAGATTCTAAGTCTTAATCATTTAAGCAACGACACAATTGAAATTGAACCATCCGTTTTTATAGGCCTGGACCGTCTAGAACAACTATACTTGGGGCATAATCATATCGAATCGTTGAGAATGGGAGTGTTCGAAGGTCTTCATAATTTGCAACATTTGGACCTTGATAAAACCATTATCGACAAATTGACCAAGTTTGCTTTTTCCGGTATTGGTCTAATAACTGAATTGGATTTATCACGCTATCGAATATTTGATTCGGCTAATCAAGAGTATAAATCTGCGAATAACAGCCGCCGAATCACCATGTTAGACAAGGAAGCATTTGATAATTTGACAAACTTGAACAGATTAAATTTAGCGAATAATTTAATCGGGACCTTGAATATCGGAACGTTTTCAAAGTTGGAGAATCTACAATATTTGAATTTATCAAATACAAACCTGGCGGAAATAAGACTAGGAACATTTTCACATACAAAACAGTTAGAAACATTGGACTTGTCATGGAATCAGTTGAAAAACATTGATTTTGGTTTATTCTTACCACGATATCCACTACTATTATCACTTTATCTGAATGAAAATCGTTTGACGGACTTGGAAGGATTTTCATATTCACTGTTTCCATCACTAAAGGTTCTAGGCATAACGGGAAACAATTTTAATTGTTCATATTTGAAGGTGTTTCTAAAGGAGGAAACATGGTCGGGGCTGACATTTGTTAATGACTATTGGTCACCGTCAAACCCTCACGAGATGAATATACACGGAGTTAAATGTGACGAAGTCGATGGAAATCGGGCAAAATCAACAGTTGTTATGTTCGATGCAAGTACCACAACTTCAACTACAAAAACCACCACAGCCATCGAATATGATGTGCATGACAATGTGAAATTTAATCAAGAAAAGTGTAGCAATTTTGATGCAAAACAATTTACAACCGGTTTAACTGAAGCCTTCTCTGTTTTTTCCCAGGGACAAAATGATCTGCATATTATGAAAAGTTTGTTATTGTTCGTGTGTTTTATGCTTTCCATGTTGTTTATCGTCGTTTTAATTATAAATCGAAATAAAATTTTGAACATTCGACGTTACCGAGGATTTTCCACAAAAAGTGAAAGCCAGTCAAGAGCCTGCATAAACAACGATTTCGAAGTATCAACATTCAACCACGAAAGTAACAATGCTTGATAGTATTTTTATCATGAAAAATGAATCATTTTTTGAATAAATTGTACAATGATTTTATAGAGTGGAAATTGTTTTTATTTTATTCATGTTCTGAAAAACTTCGAAATGTCAGAGTGTTTGCAATGCAGCAAGAATTGTAAATAATCTCCTCCATTTGAATCTACTCTAATTTCATTCTTGGGTTTTACCACGTGTTTATAAACTGTTTGATTTTTCGTGATTTGGATACATGCTCTACTTTGCTTTGAATGCAAAAATGAATTTCGAACTTGAATGCACTTTGTTTTTGCCTCACACAGCTGCTACACATTTGGGTTTGTATTTCGCTGATCCGACATTTCTGCAAGTAAGTTTTAATTCGATTTTATCAAACGTTGGAATGAAGTCAAGTAGATCGGTCGTGAAAATGAAGACTTTAAATTCCGTCTTAGTTTGTTGTGTAATAATTCACAACATTTTTGATGTTGGTATATGGTGTTTAAGTACAGAGTATGTTGAGTGCTACGACAACTATTATCGTGAAGGAAAATTAACATTAATATGTTCCAATGACTCGCGACAAATTGATTTTTTGGATAAAAGTTCAGAATATTTGACATGTTCAGATAACTACCTTTCTGGCTCTGTGGAAAAAAGAAGAATCAAGCAAGTGAAATTCGAAAACTGCCGAACGGACAAACTTACAATAAAATACGATATTTTCAAAGAGTACTGGAGTTGCTTGAAAAAGAGACTTTTGCAAAAGCCGAAAATCTGTTAAAATTCAATGCAAGTCATAACAAAATTCAAGATGTTCCGGCACTATTGTTTCTAAATGCGGGAAAACTGAGTGAAATTGTTTTATCGTTCAATAAAATAAAACAAATTGATGCTTTCGCATTGGCCGGTGCAAAACAATTGGGAAGAGTGGATTTTTCCTATAATCTTATTGAAAATATAAGTGGTCATGTATTCAGTAACATTTTGTCGCTCAATTACTTGAATTTCTCACATAATGAAATTAGTGTAGTGGAACCAAACACATTTGTTGTTTTAAAAGAACTCAAAACACTGGATTTATCATTCAACAACATCAAAATACTGAGCAAAGGCTTTTTCGATGGATTGGATAATCTTCAGATTCTAAGTCTTAATCATTTAGCAAGCAACGACACAATTGAAATTGAACCATACACTTTTAAAGGACTCGATAGTCTAAAACAACTGTACTTGTCTCACAATCATATCGCATCGGCCAGAATGGGAGTGTTTGAAGGTCTTCATGACTTAGAAAATTTGTACCTAGGTGGAACATATATCGAAGAATTGGGAAAGTATGCCTTTTCCGGTATTCACATGTCTAAATTTAGCCTGCGATCGATCAGCCTGTAATCATTTGAACTCAAACAAAAATCGAATCACTGTACTCGACAAAGAAGCATTTGATAATTTAACGCATTTGGAAATGCTAAATTTGGCCAATAATGCCATTGGAGCGTTAAATGTCGGAACGTTCTCGAAGTTGGAAAATCTAGAATATTTGAATTTATCATGCACAAACTTGGTGGAAATAAAACTCGGCACATTTTCACATACAAAAAAGCTGCGGTCATTGGATTTATCATGGAATCAGTTGAAAACTATTGATTTTGGTTTGTTCCTACCGCAATATTCACGACTGGAGTCACTTTATCTGAATGAAAATCGCTTGACGGAATTGGAAGGGTTGACGCATATGCTGTTTCCATCTTTAAACGTTCTAGGCATAACGGGAAACAACTTTAATTGTTCGTATTTAAAGGAGTTTCTACGAAACAATACGTGGCAAGAGCTGAAATTTGTTAATGACTTTTGGACGCCGTTGAACCCTCACGACATAAATATACATGGAGTTAAATGCGACTCAGTCAACGAAAATGAGTCTAAATCTACAGCTGTTATAATTGATGCAAGTACCACAACAACCACTACAGCCAAAAGCATCGAATATGATGTGCATTGTGCACGAAGATGTGAAATCAAAACAAGAAACTTTTACCAATTTTGATGCAAAACAACTGACAACCAGTTTAACTGAAGTCTTCTCTGTTTTTTCCCAGGAACAAAATGATCTGCATATTATGAAAAGTTTGTTAATGGCTCTATGTGTAATGATTTCCGTGTTGTTAATTATCGTTTTAATCGTCCTTTCCATAAATCGAGATAGAATTTTGAACATTCAACGTTACCGAGGATTTTCCACAAAAAGTGAAAGCCAGTCAACAGCCTGCATAAACAACAATTTCGAAATATCAACATTCAGCCAGGAAAATAACAATTCTTAAGCCTTCATGATCAAATGGATGAAATTTTGAATCGATTTTCGAATAAAATGTGAAATGGTTTTACCAGTTAACAAAAATTGTGTTTATTTCATTTTCTTTCATCCCTTGCTTTTCGCTCTGAAAAATTCAGAATGTAAGTGTTCCAAATCCGAATTACATCGCAACTTGGGCCATAGTGTGAAATTCAATTTCATCGGATTTGTGCCCGGCTTGGGCAAAAAATGCGCTAAAACCAGTTACTTACGCCTTAATTTTTTTTGTAGGCAAATTGATGTCGAAGTGGAAAAAAATGAGATTAAATATTTCGAACTTGTTGAAAGCATGAGTCCATTGAGAACGATGGGTGAAAGCAATGGAGAAAAAAGGCTTGGAACAAGAGCAAAAAATGCAAACTCAGTTACTTGAAACATTGTGAGGGTATTAGCAAGGCTCACAAAATGGAAATTGAATTTGCAATCTCTTGCATTTGATACGCTTGTGCTTCTATCGTCCCAATGGCCAAAGCTATGAGGATGTCTTGTATCCGCTATACAAACGTGAGACGAGTATCCAATGAATGCTTTTACTTGCGACGAAGATTAAAATAGCACACGATTCGCGTATTTTGAGCTGACGTTGATAATATTCGCCCTCATGACAGTTATCTAAAACACTGACCATGCACTTTTTCGACGGAGAAAGAGAGCGGCAAAAATGGTTTACTCTGAATATGATAAGAAAATTCTCAACATTATCATCTGTTTAAGCCTGATGATAAGCTAAAAGCATTTGATATATTTTACAACGAATATTCGAAATATATATTTCAACTACTATCTAGCCAAGAGAATCTTATGCCGAATTGTGCTACAAAACAAAACCCATACCATGCGAAAGGAAAGTATTTGCACTAAAAACGTTCTTCCTATGGATTAGGGCCAAGGAATGGTACAAACGAAAGCTGGATCACATTATCTCATAGAAACTTTTGCTCAAACCGCTTGGTATGTGTAATTGTTGCCATCCATATGATTTCGTTGCCCACTTTAAGAGAGAGTTTAATGCCCATTTGCTTGAGTATCGTTGATACAATCTGTGCGTGTGCGTCTAATTAGCAATTAATCAAAGCCCAAAACCAAATAAGCTCAGATTTGACATAAGGCGCTATTGATTTTTCCTGCGGATGTCAGAAATTAACCGTATTACTGCAATTAATTTGGGATACGTGAAGCCATTTCAACGTACAAATAGCTCATATCTGAGAATGCCACAGCACTATAAAGCTTCAGATAATTGAAGGAAAATCAACCTTTTGCTTTTGTATTTAACGCTGAGCTCTTTCATCTGATATAGGTGGAAGAAGAAGAAGAATCCCGTATGGTTTCCTCAAATTCGAATTATCTGCCGTTTCTCTTTTCATCAGAATTTTGCCTAGAGCACACATCTGAGCTTATTGAAAAGTCTTAAATCGATAAAGCTAAAATGTGCACATTTCCGCACTCTCACGTTCGATGAGATTTTCACTCAATATCGTAAAAATACGCCTCACATTCCAAAATGTGAACTGTATTCAGTCAATATTCATCGGTTTTTCTTGAAAGATTTAGAGGTGACGCTCACGCTCAGCAGCTGGCAACATCATTGTAAATGGAAAACAAAATAAATGGTGGCAACATTCGTTCGAAAAATAGAACGATGAATACGCAATGAAATTAGATGAGCTTAACCGAATAAATAAAATTCTCAGTTTATGCAGTGTGTCGACTCGATGAAGGAAATCCTCAAATAAAATCCTTGTTTCATACGTGTGAAATCGAAACGCAGGTAAAATTCGGTATGTACGGCACAAATCACCGTTGAGTCGAAAGGAATAACGTATTTAATAGCAAAAAGGCATGGGAAAATGGAAATGTATTCAAAGTGAGCCACGGATGGAATAAGAAGCAAAAAATGGAAGCAAAATGCTCGTGCATTTCTACCGTCTCGAAATTGCTAAATGAATCTGTCTGATGGTACACACAATTGCCATGATTCAACCGGTTGAAATGTACGCCCGTGTATGTTTTTGCCAGTGACACACATACTAAGTTATGTGATAATCCTCACTTCCGAAGTCAAAGACATATAGCCGACGGCCAAAATCAAATAATGGCCCGCACCAGCACTGCTGGCAAAACACAAATGTACGGGACACCAAATACACAACAACCGTGCCGCTGCTTGTGTCATACATCTTCTCTGTGGCGGGGCTGTTTTGGAGTTTCTAATCGTTTTAGTTTCCAGAAGATAAACGCGCAGATGAATTTCAGTTTTTGCTCAAGGACATGGCATCTATGGTGAACTATAGCTCTGTCACTCGGTTTAATGGATTAATTTTCAGAAGTCTTATTAATTTTCTGCACAAAGTGTCATTTGTTTTGGTTAGGTTTGTTTTTTCTTCGGTCGGAAATCAACATAAATGTTTGTTTTTTTGTGTCAGCCTTTGGCAATTTTCAATTCATTCAACACTGTCATACCAATACACATTCGAAACACTCTATTTTTTTTTCCTTGTCATCTTTCGTAATGTATTTTCCTTTTCCTTGTCCTTTTTTTCTTCTGCTCATTCGTAATCTTCTTCATCTTTTCGCATTTCTATTTTGGCATTTCATTTTGTTTATTGACTTTAGTCAGTTCGCTTGAAATCATACATCTGCTCACGTTATCTGGCGCAAATAATTCGCATTCAATGTAAACGCATAACCAACTTTTATCACGGCCAAAGCCGCATTTAGCTCGAATTCCAT